ACACAAGAAATGGATTCAGGACGAGAGATAAGAAGAGGTATTAATAGTAAAGTCTTAGAGAAATTGGACTGAGGTCGGGGTGCCAAGGACGTGGGGCAGACTGATGGTCTCGTTGCAAAGACAGGGAGGGTCACACGGGACGAGGACAAAGTGGGCTACCCAGTTCTTGCACCCACACCCCTGAGGTTTCCCTAAGATTGAGAGATCAATTCATCCACGTACTTATTCAACCAATGAGGGACATCGCTTACTTCTCATAGACCTGCCGATCGAGCTGGTAAGACCAGGTGTTTGAATTATTTGGGTTTCTGTTTCCCATGACAAACCTGTATAACCACTGCCCTAAAGACAACAAGCATTTAAATGAGCCAGGCTGTTACTGCAAGTAGCATTCCCTGTTGTTCATTCACTCAGAGGCTTCATCTGCTTGCAAGAACATAAATCCGCCTTTATTTGGCCAAAGTTTACACAACAGAACAAGAATGAGGAAGATTCCTGGTTTCCAATAGGCCAATGAAACAGGCTCAGCGTGAATGAACCGCTGAGTTGACCAGGAAGCTGGACGACAGCTGTTCTGAGCAGGACTGGGGGCTCCTCGGAGCTCACAAAGTGCCAGAGGCTGAGGTGCAGCTCGGCCTCTCTCAGCCCTGCCTCGGTGACGACGGCCACCACCTCGGACGTGTCCTCAGGACGGGAGCTGCCCTCAAGGGTAAAAGGCAGGCCGGGACATACCCGAGGCTGTAGTTTTAACTATGTTAACTAAACAAACAAATTTTCCTCTTGCAAAGTGATTGCCTGATTTATAGGAAATAAACTGGCAGTCAGTGATGCTAGAAACTTCTGGCCTCTAGGTCAGAGCCCCACGGCAGCCTGGAGGGGCCAAGCGCAAAGCCGTGGGAATTTCTGGGGAGAACTGGAAACTGCAGGGACCTGCCTTGCCCCGGGGGTGCCGATTTCTTCCTGTGCCTCCTCTGTTTTTGTCTTGGTCCCCATGAGGTGTCCTGGGGAAGACACTGGTTTTACAGGAAGATTCTGCAGAGAGAATATAACCACCGTCTGCTGCGGTTGCCGGAGGCAGCAGAGAAGCAGGTTGCCGGGACATGGCCGGGTCCGTCCCCGAGTCAGCGGGTGGCATCCGCACCAGGACTCGGGGCAGTTCTGTGCTTTCGGGGGTGGGGACCTCCCACTTGTCTGTGTGACCTGGGCCAGGGCGGCTGCAGTGACAACTCCCGTTTTCCACGCCTGACAGGAGCAAGGCACTGACAGGCCGCCGAGGGGCCGCTCTCTGAAGTGTGATCCCTGGCCCGCAGGCGTCGAGCTGAACCCACCAGCTGGAGGTGAAAACGAAATAGGACCCGGAGAAAAACCCCGCCCATGTCCTCACTGGTGCTGCCAGGGAGGCTGGAATAGAACGTGCGCTTTCCTGGGGGAACGGAAGATAGGCGGGACCCGCGTCTGTTTCCTCGTCGGGTGCCGACTTGCACATCCTAAATAAGTTTCCAGCCCAAGGTCCACACTCTCCCTCACGTGTGAGAGAGCCTGGGACGCCCTTCTGGGGAAAGGCAACGGCAGATGGCAAAGCCACTCCCGACCCCTGGCAGTTCGCCTGCCGGGAAGGTTCCTCGTGGAACCGGATGTGCGGCGTGGGGGGGCCTCCTGTTTTGCCAGGGAAGTCGAGGGAGTTTGCGCCACAAAGGCAGTGTGATGTGTTCAGTAGTTCCCGCGGAAACGTGAATTCTACTGGCAATACTTTGCATTTTCTCAGGTTTTATTTCCTCCTAAGTGAACAGAACTTCAAAGGACTTAAAGGAAGCAACCAGGTACAGTTTGAAAGGTCTGAATACAATTCCATACTGTGCCTGCGTTCTTCCCTCGAAACTAAAGAGAAGTGTCTCTATTTTTCTTCCCCCGATCTTCATGCACATACAGTTTTAAATGCAGCTTTGACATAACATTTGCCATAAACCTTTTCCACATTATGACAAATCCGCCATAAGCATTCGTTACTTGATGACACAACAGTCTGCCCAGAAGATCTTTCTTAACCTTAATGTGCAGAAAGTTGTGGCTCTTCGTGTCCAATTTTCCTGCCATGGGACGTTAGAGCCACGCTTTCTGCACAGGTGGGATTCACACTGCGAAGTAACGTGCTCACCTGACAGGTGTCGCTGTAGCGACAGACGCCCTCAGCTGGGATAAAACCAGCCCGCCCGCCCTGCTCGCCTGAGAGGTTTTGCCTCAGGGTGTGCTATGTTCCCTCCAGGGTTCCCGCCGCACCCTCTGCCTGGTTCCTCCTCACATTTCTAGCCTGGTCAAACCCAGCTGTCTGCGGAGGAGACTCAGCGCGGCGCTGCTGCCTCGCGGGGTCTTTCTGAGCGTGGCCGGGCACAGCCGGTGGCCGCTCTCTGCTCACAGGTGTGCCTGGTACAGCGCTGCAGGCTCAGGCACCTGGGAGCTTTTAGAAAACCCAAAACCTGGGCCCACCCCCGACGTGCTGACCCAGCTGGCCTGGGGAAGGGCCCGGGCGCTGGCGTCTTTGCAGTCCGCTCCCTGATTCCAGCACTGTGCGGCCATGGCGGAGCCTCGCTGGGGTAGTGCTCAGGGCAGGGCCTTGGGGGGCCACGTCCTGCCCCAACGCTTCTTAGCGCTGTGACCTGGGGCAATTCCCTACCTACGCTCAACTTTCCTCATCTGCAGAATGGGGATAATAAAACCTACACCGTGGGATTGGGTCAAATAACACAAAAAGCAGCACAGAGCCCGGCACATCATGAACGCTCAGTAAATATTGATTTGCCATTTTTAAATGATCGCTTAGTTCTATTTTTGTTGTCTACTTCCCCAGCAGACTGTGGAGCCTTTGGGGACATAGTTTTTTACCTCTGTGTCCTCAGCACAGAACCTGGCACCTGACTGGTGCTCAAGGAGCTGGATGCGCAAAGTTCTGTCAAACCGAAGGTTTATTACCACTCTTCCTGCCTAGTAAATCCTCTTCGGATATTTTATGATCATTCTGTCCGACTCATTTTATGTCTCGCGTCTGAGAAACAGGACATTTTCTGTCCCTCGAAGGGCTGAGATCCCGCAAACCGGCAGCCTCCAAGGGCGTTTGTCACCCGCCTCCCCCTCCCCCGCCCGGCAGAGGCACCTGCCGCCCTGGGCCCCGACGGCGATGGCTGCTCTTCTTTAGAGAGCTGCAGTAACGAGGTCTTTTCCTTCTCGAAATTATTATAATTAAAGAAATGACTCAAAGGGAGAGTGTTGGGGACAGTAAATGATGAGTCTCAGAACCGCAGCTACTGTGCTGCCGGGAGCAGCTTTTGGTTTCTCCTGTGACTCATTCCTTGCCGCGGTGGGGCAGGCGCGGTGCCGCCTCTGTGAGTCTGGCGAACCTGAGCGCTGTCTGGATGCCGGCACTCCGGTGAGGACGGCCAGGAGCCCACGTTTTAACTCGAGCGAGGAATTTCTCTTCCTCGTGGAGGCGATGCCATCACTGGTTTAAACTTTTTAAAACCTACCGGGCGACTGATGCTCCTTGCCGTCTGCACGTCCTGCGGCTGCGGGGCCTCCCACGGAAGGTCCCAGCCTGTTGGTCTCGTGCTTCCCCCCAGCCCGCCCCGCACTCAGCCCCAAGGACGCCTTCCCCGCCGCAGCCGACACAGCAGGGGCCGCCCCCAGCGCCCGTCCTGTCCCGCGTGTGCTCCTGTCCTTTCCATCCGCGTCCGCCCACGAAGCCAGGGCTGCGCAGACTGTCTTTGATCCCAGCACTTTGCTCAGAGCCTGGCACACAGTAGGCGCTCAATAAATTGTTGAGATTAAATAATAAATAGACAAATCAATCTGATTAAAAGTTAACAAATGAACTTTATTCAATAGCTTGGATTTCTGAAATACTCTTTGAAAGTCTGGATCCAGAGGCAGACTTAGAATATTTTAAGGATTCTTCTAGGAAGACTCTAATATAAATGAAAACACAACAAGGCTGTTACCGGAGAAAGCTCTCTCTCTACATTTTCATAATCATTTCTTCCAGTAATTAAATCAACACTTGATTGTTGTGAAGGTCGGGGAAACAAATAGGCTCCACGTTTGCCTGTGGGCTGGGCTGGGACCATGAAATGCATGGCGTGACTCGCAGAGGCTTCCGGAACCTACGGCGAAGGGCTCATGAGGTCCTCCCACAGCAGTTGTCTTCAGGATGCCTCTTTTGGGTGTGTGGTAAAATGCACATAACATAAAATTCACCATTTTAATCATTGTTAGATGTTCGGTTTAGTGGCACTAACTACATTCACGTTGTTATCAGCCACCACCGCTGCGCGTCCACAGAACCCTTCTGATCTCGTAAAACTGAAACTCTGCCCCCCTTAAACATCCAGTCCCCGCCCTGCTCCCCGCAGCCCTGCACCCACTGTCCTACTTTCTGTCTCTGCAGATTCGACTGCTCTGGGGCCTCAGGTGGCTGGGAACGTGTAGCATTTCTCCTTCTATAACCAGATTGTCCCACTCAGCACACCGTCCTCAAGGTCTATCCGCGCTGTAGCGCGAGTCAGAATCTCCTCCCTTTTAAAGGTAAATAATATTCCGTGTGCACAAACACCACGCTTTGTTTATCCCTTCGCCCACTGGCAGATCCTGGGTCATTTCCACCTTCGTTGTGAGTAATGCCCCGTGGACACGAGGGCATGAGCACCTCTTGGAGACCCGCTTCAGTTCTGAGCACACGCCCGCAAGGGGGTTGCTGGGTCACGCAGCAATTCTGTCTTTAGGATGCTGCTTTCCACGCGACTGCACCATTCTGCATTCCCACCAGCAGTGCCCAGGGGCTCTAGTTCCTCCACATCCCCACCAACCCGTGCCACGCCATTTTCCAGGTTGTTTGGTTTATCGCAGCCATCCTAATGGGCGTGACATGGAGAAACACTTCTTTGAAAATCAGGAAATGCTTAATAGTTTCAGTGACTAAGCAGAAGAAATCCCTGTATCTGGGAAATGATGGGTCAGAGGACAGGTGCCCCGAGGGCATCTGTGGGCGTGGCCGTCACCTGGGAGGCGGAGCCTGGGGAGCTCCGGCTCAGTCGTCCCGCCTCGTCCCCTCCAGAGACCCCAGCTCTGGAATCGGAGCAGGAGGCTCAGACTGCGGTTCCCTGGGCCCGCGGCCACCAGGCTCCACGTTTGAGTGTCACCTCTGCCGCCACTTAGCCATGTGGCCTTGGGCACGTCACCACGCGGTGTCTACTTTTTCATGTGAAAAATGAGGATGATGACATGTTTCCCAAGCGGTTCCAGAAATGCTGCGCTAACAATGAAAGCACTGCACAAAGCCAGGGGAGGCTCAGCCACCTGCAGCTGGACCTGCCCCTACACAGAGGGTGCTCAGCATTTCCAGATGCAGTGCTGAAGGCTGCACCCCGTTCTCCACGGAGGCCCTCCTGGGGACCCTCAATAATGACATGTATGGGCTGCAACAAGAGCACAGAACAGTGAAAACAGGAGTGAAAGGTCTTCTCGCGCTCCCTGGGTAGAGGCTCCCTCCTCCCTGGTCCTGGCGTCACACCAGGGCTGCTGCGCCACAGACAGCCCCCTCAGTGACAGCCTTGCCACTTACTGCTCAGCTGCTCCTATCCTCCCCGACACGTCAGGACCTGGTTTCCCTAGTGACCATCCCTTCAGGAGAGCCTCACAGGCGCTCCCCATGGCCCGCTGTCCCCCTCTCTTCCTCCATAACCAGCCTGCCCCGGTGCGAACGTCCCCCCAACGCTCACGCTGACATGCAACTGCCATCCTAACGGTGTGGGGAGGTGGCAGTTAGGGCATGGGGGCCCCACCCTCCTGAATGCATTAGCGCCATCGTCATAGGAGGGGGCAGGTCGGGCACGGCGGGTTGTTACACAGTGAGCCCCGCACACACTTGCTCTCCGCCGTCCTGTGGTGGAATAACGTGGCAATGACGTCCTCACCAGCTGCAGCCACCAAGCATGGACTTCCCGCCTCCAGGACCGTGAGCTACACAAACCTCTACCCTTCATGAATTACCCAGCCTGTTGTACTCAGTTACAGCAACAGCGAACAGACGCAGACACTGGCAAACTTTGCCTAAGTTGGGCAGGTGTCTGAGGGTCTACACTGACACACACAGCGCATACTGTGTTCCACAAGTGTCACATCCCAGCGTTCAATGCGCCAATGCAGTGGCAGTAATAAGCAGTTCCTATTTATAAATCCCGTGAGGGAAGGAAGGAAGGTACTGTTATTCCCATTTAGAGATAAGCAAACAGATGCTCCAAGAGGTCCAGGAGTTGGGCCAAGTCCACAGTCACCAAACAACGAAACCAAAGTGCATTCCTAGATCTCCGGGAGCTAGTCCAGGGCCCTGCACTCATGTTCTACTCCTGTTTTCTCTTTGGATTGCTATAACAAAATACTTCAGACTGAGTGATTTATAGACGACAGAAATGTATTGATCACAGTTCTGGGGGCTGTGAAGTCCCAGATCAAGGCGCGAGCAGATCTGGTAACAGGTGAGGGCTGCTCTGCGTCAAAGAGGGTGTCTTGTCACTGTGTCCTCATGCTGTGGAAGGCGCCAGGAAACTCCCCTGAGCCTCTTTTATAACAGCACTAATCCCACTCATAAAGGTTCCGTCCTCGTGACCAAATCGCTTCCCAAACGCACCCCCCTCTTAGCCACCACACTGGGGATTAGGTGTCAACACACAGATGTGCAGGGGACACTAACCTGCAGACCATAGCACCCGCTTTTTCTCCTTCTCGTGACCTTTCTCTTTGGGCTTATTTGTCCTTACTTAGATTTTGATTTTCCTCGTGTCGGTGAAAGTGCTGGTGAACTGACTCACGGAAGGGAAACAGGAGCGGCAGTTCCGATAGAGCGTTTGCCTGTTCCCGTGGGATACGCGCTCCCGCCACAGCTGATGTAAGCGGCCAGTAGTGGTGACAACTGGCTCACCAAAGTCCAGAGCATTTCACAGTCGACTTTCTGGAACATCACGGCTCCTACCCCCTCCTCTGCTGTGTCCGGGCTGCCAGCCTGTGTCTCTTCAGTGGGTGGTTCAAGCCACTCACATTCATTGAGAGAACTGATAAGTGGGGCAGATTTCTATTCATCCCATTGAGTAGAACTTTGTTGCTTTGTTTTCTCTCTTGAGCCATTGTGATATCTGGCCTTTGACCTTGAGCTTTTGGATGATCTTACACTGGTGAGTGTCTAGCATGCTGATCTGTGTGTAACGCTGTGCTGAGTACTTCCTGGAGGGCAGGTCTTGTCTTGATGAATTCCCTCAGTCTTTCCTTGTCTGAGAAGGTCTTTATTTCTCCTTCATAGGAGAAACTTAGTTTTGCAGGATACAAGATTCTAGGCTGGGCATTATTCTGTTTGAGAAGACTGAGAATGGGGCCCCAGTCCCTTCTGGCTTGTAAGGTCTCCGTTGAGAGTCTGCAGTTAGTGTGATGGGTTTTCCTTTGTAGGTTACCTGCTGCTTTCACCTTACGGCTCATAAAAGGGCCTACTGCGTGGTTATTTTGGCCAGTCTGATGACTGTGTGTCGTGGTGTCTTCCTGTTTGCGATGAATCTCCCAGGAGTCCTTGGAGCTTCTTGTACCTGGATATCTAGATTTCTAGCAAGACCTGGGAAATTTTCCTCCATTATTGTCTCAAATAGTTTACCCAGCCCTTGTGTATCTTCTTCTTCACCCTCAGGGATGCCTACAATTCTCACATTAGGCCTTTTCACATAATCCCACATTTCTTGTAGGCTTTGCTCTTTTTTCTTATTTCTCTGCTTTATCTCTGTGAATGACTTGTTTAATCAAAAGGTGTTATCTTTAATCCCCGAGATTCTTTCTTCTGCTTGATGTAGCCTATTCTTGAGGCTTTCCACTGTGTTTTGTAATTCCTTGAATAAATTCTTCATTTCCAGTTCGGTTTTATTTTTCTTTAATATTTCAATTTCTTTAGTGAATTTTTATTCCAAGTCCTAGATTTTTGGGGGGTTTTTTTGTGTGGTTTCTTTGTGTCAGGTATCCATTTTCTCTTGCATATCATTGAGTTTTCTTACAATCCATGTTCAAGATGCTTCTTCTGTGATTTTAGTGTTCTGAGTTTGGTTGATGTCCATTGCTAGAGAGCTGTTGTTCCCCTTTGGGGGTGTGATTTCCATTTGATTCTTCATACTTCCGGAGTTCTTTTGCGGGTTCCTTCCCATCTGGATCAGCTGTTGCTTCTTGCCTTTAGATTTTCATTTGGATAATGAGACTCACTGTTTTGTCTCTGAGCCAGTAGGTGGTGTTTCTGGGTGAGATTTGACCACACCCTGTATGATTAGTGAGTAGACCCTGTAAAATGGTGTGCAGGATGACCTCCCTGTCAGTAGGTGGCGCTTGCTGGGAGGAGCAGGTCGCAGTGCTGTTTTTGGGACCTATAACCAGCTCTTGTTCCTCTGGAGAAGCACTCTAGTGCCTCAGGTGGTGGGTGGGGCCCAGGGACTTCCAGGTGTGTCCTTATTCTCCACCTCAGTGGGGGCAGCTCGGGGAGTGAGTCTGGGCAGAGCCGGTTGGGTGAGCTGCCCTCAAGCTCCACAAATGCTGTTAGCAGGGGTCAAAGATCTGTTCTCTGCTTCTGGGCAAAGCTGCCAGGGAGGGGCTGACATGGGCCCAGTCAGCCAAAAAGTCTGCATGTTGGGGTGGGGCCATCTGAGACCGGCAGTCTGGAGCAGGCCTCGCTCCTTTCCACCCTCCCCTATTCCGTGGTTTCTCCCCGGCCTCTGCCAGCAGGCAGGACCTCAAGCCAGCGGAGATCCCCTGGCTGTGATGCCGGCCAGGAGGTTCCCTGCCCAGGATCACGGCCTGAGCTGGGCGCATGGCCCTCCCGTGGGAGGGTTGCCCCTCAAGCCCCTGAAAGCACATGACCTCAGTAGGCTCCTTCACAAATATCCCCTCTGTGCCCCCAGGCAATGCGATCGAGACCCAGGTGTATGGGATCTGGCCTTCAGGCCTGTCCCCGGCCCTGGAGATCAATTCCTGACCCTGCCAGGGAGAAGAGTGATGGTCCCAAGTCACCCACGGGATGTACAAGCTGGATCAATGTCCCTGTGCCTCAGGGTTTGCCCTGCTCTGCTGGAGTCACCAGGCCGGCAGTATCAGGAAGGGCCAGTGGGTAGGGAGGTCACAGCCTGAGCACCCCTCAGTCTGCTGCGGGGTCCCAAAAGGAAAGATCGGAGCCCTGTTCCCCATGGAAGCCTCTGTGTGGTGGCTCAGTTGTGTCTGGGCAGCCTCAGGTCAGGGAGGGGAAGGAGCGAAAAAGAGTCTGCGTGGAGGAAAGTCCACCCTGTGGTCACCTTTATGTAAAGATTTACCTAAATAAAGCAAAATTATTACATTAGCAAATGCAACTTGAGGAAGAAGCTTACGGGGGTGCATAGCGAGTCATGCAATGTGAACTTAAGTCACAGCGGACCACTCTGAGCTCTGCAAACGTGCCCAGGGGATGGTGGCCTTTATCTGCGCTCTGTAGCCTTTTCGCTCCATGAAATCCCTGAACACGATGACAGCAAGCATGGCAGGCTCTCCCGAGAGCAACTAGCGGGATATATTCATAGGACACAGCGGGGTAGCTGCGCTTTGCTGTGCGGATTCAAACAGTCTAGCGGCAGATGGAAAATACCACACTCTTCAGTGTCACGTGGGAGGATGTGAAGTGATCGGGCATGGAATTGAGACAACAGGCCCCCAAAGTCCTGAGCTGTGGATGCCGTTTGTGCGCGTGGTTGGCAGAGCGCGGCCTCGCCGGCACCACACCGCGGCTTCCTGCCGCTTAGCTCCTCATCCCGCAGCCCGCGAGGAGAGAGGGATGTCTCTGCATTGAACATGGACACTGCCCAGGCCGGGGAAATTCCCACTTTCCTGCGGGAGAAGTGGGGGCAGCGGGAACTCAGGCAGGGTGGGCTGGAAAGGGGACGGAGCCCCACCCCTCAGTGTGGGCTCGTGGGAGGCGCTTGGCCGGCTGGCGGTGTTGGTGACGTCCTTGGACGGCACCACAGGCGGCTCGGGAGCTCAGTTACCGTCCAAGCTAAATCAGCAGGCATGGTCTCCCCCAGGACCACCACCGTCCCTGCTCGTCCTTCTGGGGGGACGTGCATCTAAACAGCTGCAATGAGAGTGAATACTTGGACCATAACTTATTAGAAAGGAGGAAACCATGCAACATGAATTCTAAGTGTCTGAAATTAACTTTGACAGGAAAAGTTGCTCTACCTTTGGGAGACTGGATGTTAGGGGCTAAGTGTGTCTCCGGCCACCCCGCAGTGAGTGCTTTGCAGGTCCTCATCTCCAGTATCTGGGACAGTGGTGTTTGTGGAGATGCTGCCTTTAGAGGTGTCTACGTTAAAACAAGGCCTTTCGGGGGGCCCCGATCTGTTCTCGTGGGTGTCCCTACAAGAAGTTCGAGTTCACAGAGGAGAAGCCATCTGAGACTCACTCCCCGAGCTGCCCCCACTGAGGTGGAGAATAAGGACACACCTGGAAGTCCCTGGGCCCCACCCACCACCTGAGGCACTAGAGTGCTTCTCCAGAGGAACAAGAGCTGGTTATAGGTCCCAAAAACAGCACTGCGACCTGCTCCTCCCAGCAAGCGCCACCTACTGACAGGGAGGTCATCCTGCACACCATTTTACAAGATCTACTCACTAATCATACATGGTGTGGTCGAATCTCACCCAGAAACACCACCTACTGGCTCAGAGACAAAACAGTGAGTCTCATTATCCAAACGAAAATCTAAAGGCAAGAAGCAACAGCTGATCCAGATGGGAAGGAACACCCCAACCTCAGACCACCGGCCTCCAGAACTGTGAGAAACAGTTTGTTGTTTGAGCCACTCAGTCTGTGGTGTCCTGTTGTGGCCGCCCTAGCAAACTAACACACTAGTGTACTATCAATATAACCACGTATACTGTATTCACTTAGACCGGATTTTCTGTACTTACACCTCTGGAATGCCTACAATCGCACACATCATCAGAAATCTTAAAAGGTTTTGAAAATACTATATTTTTCTGGCCTCATTTAAAATTTAGTCTATCTGACTTCAGAAGCAAATCAGTGTGCAATTTGCAAGGTGATACTTCAGTACTTAAATTTTCACCTTGCTTGAGGTTTACATAGTAAAATCTCACTTATCCAGAAATAATTGATTGAGACCATCTTAACTACTTTGTAGCAAAAACCAAGAAAAATTGACTTCTGGTCAGCACAAACAAATGTGATTATATATAAGCATACACTATACAAACATGTACACATATGACACGTGTATATACACATATGCAATAAATATATGCATGTTTATATGATTGTTTATTCTACTAATAACATACCAGGAGGTTCTAACTTGTTGCCCTATTAGTACACGATGCTGACGAGGGCACACAGCTAATTTCCCGACCCAGCAATAGAATACGGTTTGCAGGGAGTGGAGACGAGGACCAAAGGCAGACGCCGTTAAGGTCCAGGAAGGGACTGTTGCAGCCTGACAGGGAGAGAAGTTTTGGGAAAAATCAACGAAAAGACAAGAGAACCATTAAAGGACAATTCCAGACACTCGTCACAGGAACGAACAACCCCGTCTACCTCAACGTCTCCCGAAGGTGTCAAGGCCTTGCAGCACCGACAGCTATCGGTGCACATGTTCCCATGTCCAAGACGGTGAGAAAAATGATCTCATCCAACGCACTATATTTAAGAAGAGATAAAGTATGTAGCACATTTTGGAAACATGTTTATACGTGGTAGCTGAAATGTTTAAAGGGGGATTGCTTAAGGAAGTCAGCTTCATTTATCTGAAGATTTAAACCATGCAGGGAAGCTCAGCTCCCAGCTCTGGCAAATAAGCAAGATGTTTCTGTGCAATTTTCAAACTTAAAGCATATCTTCAAAAATCACATCAGTGCATTGGTCATACTGAGAGAAGACTCTAAGTAATGTCTCTTTTGATTTCTGGAGTGGAACACTAACAGAGTCGAGGGACGTGAGACACCCTGAATTCCACACTCTCCGGGCAATGGGCTCCTCCGTCTGCACCTTGACACGGAAAGAGGATTCCTACCTCATGTACAGAACACACATTTTCTTTATTTTGCAAAGCCAAAGCTATGCTTTAAAAATACAGACTTTGAATCTTAAGACATCATTTTGCATTTTATAGAGAGAAACAGTTAAAGCTTCCAAGAACAATATAAAGTTTCAAATAACACATCTGTCAGGATTAAACACATTAGCATTTCTGAAATTCATGTTGGTCCTTCTCTAATACATGTTTGTATTTTTCTAACAGGAGAGTATTTTTCCACTTACATTCATGTATTTACATAGCACTTTAAAGACTTTAGTTCTCTGAACATTCTATGAAGTCAAAGAGAGCTGTTAAAATCTGATTCCATCACGACTCAGATATTGGGCAAAACCACGTCAAAGTCGCTATCAGAAGCCAACATAATCTAGCCACGCACCACCTGATCTGAAGCTCTTCATAGCCAAAGTCCTCGGCCACACTGTGGAAACAGAATGAAAATTCTCTCTACATTGTCTAAGTAAAGTTGCCTTCTTCTTTTTAAAAAGGTATTCTATTTCTCTAAAAAATTAAAAATATCTAATACTCTACACAACGAAGTCCAATTTCATTATGATTCATCAGACAAATATCTCTCGAACCCCTTTCGTATGCTGAAACTCCGCTAGGCAGCCAGGACGCGGCGGTGCCCGACGCCGTCATAGATCCTGTCTTCGCAGAACTCGCAGCCTAACAGACCCTTAGAGAAGATACGCCGGAGAACAGTTCCCAGGGAAAGAAAAGCAAATCTGTGTCTTCCTGGCGGCCTGCTGCAGCCTGCCTGCCTTCCCCGCAGTGGCAGCTGTCGCTAATACCTGCTCAGCCACCATCTTGTTGCCCTGAAGCTTTTCCACCGTGAACACTTGGGCTTGTCTTTCTTCTGCCACTTTTCAATCACATGATCGTTGTGCCTATCCAAGGGAAATGAGACAAAACACTGGCCTATTTTGCTACTTATAATTAGCAACAGTAAACATTTGGATAGATAAAATGTTTAAACATTTGTCTAAAACAAGTTCTGTGAGAGCTTCTGTTTGCTTTTCTGTTTCGTTTTTTCAAACCATATTACTATTTTGTGCTAGAACCAGAAGAAACTGTGGGCTACGACTGCTGCATGAAAATTTCTGGAAATGTTTACATGCGTAAACTCACTTTAATTCAGCATTTCCTGAAGTCCGTTGTGTGGAATCCAGTCCTGTAACATGCTGCAGAGCCGCAAAGCCACGTGGTCCTTGCCAAGAACTCTGGGACAGGCTGCCTGGCAGAGCCCGCCACCACCCCATGTCGAGATTACACAGCCGTGAGCACAAGTCCCGGATCCCGCAGGAAAGACACCTGCTTAATTTTGTTTAATTTCCAGATTTCCCATTTTCCCACGCATATTTGGCCATGAGCTTTTCTTCTACCGCTGCTTTTTTTTTTTTTTTTTTTGGCATAACATTTATCAGTACGTTTCAGAAATGCTTTAGGGACAGTTAACTTTCTACCTGCACATCACATGGTGAAGGATGACGCGTTGTCATTATCCACAGTCTCGCTGGTCTGCCTGGAAAGGAAGGTTTCTGAGTACATCCTGGAACAGGAGAAGCCCTGAGAATTATACTTCCTTCTCACACACCACAGGTCCTTCATTATCTTCAGAAAGTAGTTTCTAAACTTCTGGCCGATAAATGCATAGAGCACGGGGTTGAGGCAGCAGTGGAGGAAAGCCAGGACTTCCGTGATATTTTTGGTGTAGCCGATTACTTTTTCACTGTGGCAAGATCGGTTCGTTCTACCCAGATTTGCAGCTGTCACGAGAAGGACCATGTTATGAGGGATCTGACAGGCCAAAAACACAAGCACCACAGCTATGATTACGCGGATGGCTCTGTGCCTTTTAGAATTCTGAGCCTGCACTAAGGTTTTGACAATAAACATGTAGCAGAATATCATGAACACCAGTGGGATAAAGAACCCAAAGAGTAGCTCAAGCCCCAACATCAGCAGCTTCCACTTGATGGGCTCTGAGACGGCGTCGTACTTGGGTTCACAGACATCTCTGCCTTGCAGGTTGTACTTCTGGTTGAAGATAAAGGTGGAGCTGGAGATTAGGACTGACACCAGCCACACCGCCAGACAGATGGCCTTGCTGTGTGGCAATGTTCTGGTCCGGAGCCGGAAGGCTTTCGTCGCCTGTACGATGGCGACGTACCGGTCCATGCTGATGCAGGCCAAGAGCAGCATGCCGCAGTTAAAGTTGACTGCGTAGATGCCCTTCAGCAGTTTGCACGTGACATTGCTGAAAATCCACACCCCGGCAGCGTGATTCACTACCCAGAATGGCAGAGTGAGAACAAAAAGTATGTCTGCGATGGCCATGTTCAGCAGGTAGACGTCTGTCATGGACCTGGCCTTCTTGTAGAACGCGAAGGTGATCACCACCAGAACGTTGCCCACGAGCCCAAACACGCAGATCAAGGAGTAGGCGACCGGCACAAACAGCCTGGAGAAGTTTCTGACCTCCTGCAGGGAACACAGCAAGGCATCGTCGTACTCAAACGAAGAATTGGTGTAACCTGATGGAAAATAATCTTCGGTGAAGAGGTTCATGTCGCTGAAATTCATTAATTCCTGGAAGGTGAAGAAAGACAGAGTTATCAAGTAGCTGTCGTGCAATTTTTGAGTAGCTACAATTAACCAAAATTATGCTCTCTGCCAAAAATAAAATAAATTCTCACCTCATTCATTGTGGTGCTTGTTCCGGGCCAAAAACGTAGGGATAATATAGGGAAAAAATGTGTGGCTCAATCCCTCTGGCTCGCCAGCGGAGAAACCACGGGAGTAGACGTGAGTCTAAGGACGGAAGAAAGCGAAACACACGCAGTTACGAGAGAGCAGAGAGGTAAGTAACAGCACTCCACCCCGTCTGGCGGTGCACCGCTGCTCTCGCACGTAAGACGTCCATTTACAGCGGGAACCAGCAGCCTCTTCCCGTCAACGGCCAGACGGCAGATACTCCAGGCTTTGTGGGCTATATGGTCTCTGCCACAGCCGTTCCCATCTGCCTCGTGGTGGAAGCAGCCCCAGACAACCTCGCAAATGAAGGGGCCTGACCCCACTTGGTTGGCAGCAGGATGTGACTTACCGATGTCAGATGTGCTTCCAAGCCACCCACCATCCTCTCCCTCTGGACCCGACTCTTTCCCCGTGGGCCTGGCAAGGTCAGGAGGGAACAACAGGGAGGCGCAGCCTCGGGTGCACGGGTGCAGCAGGGGAGCTTCCTCCAGGGCCCCTCACCCGGTGCTGTGTCCGTCCTCGCTTACGGAGTCAATATGGAAACCAAAATGTGGGGGCGGAAGTCAGTATAACACAAAATTCACCTAGCATTATTTTCTGAACATATTTCTTGTATTTTGTTGCTTACTCAACCCCATTCCTGGGGGAAGGCACGGAGCCACCTCTGCACTTTTGCAGTCACCTGCATTATGCAGCTGAGTGCTTTAGAGCACGCAGAAGAAGCACAGCATAGAGCCCCTGTGTTGCAAAAGCATGTGAGGAGGTAATCATATCAATCGGATTAAGCGCAGCAATCAAAACAGAACTGCAAGATTTCAGTTTCTAGCCACAGTGGGATTAACAGGGACCAAAATACCCTACTGCATTAAATGACTAGAAAACCGACAAAACATAATAACAGTTTTCAGACGCTGGGCAGCGGGCATCACAGGACCATGACCCCTGGAAGGAGGAGAACAAATGAAGCAGGAAATGCTATAGGCTCTGTGAGTTAGCAGTGGGTGTATCTGGGGGTGTGTGTGCATGAAGTATACAACACGTAAAATGAAAAACGCATGATTGGTATTACCAGCAGATTAGACACTGTCCATATAGAGAATTCAGTTGTAATTCTATGCTTTAGCAACAAAAGTTGGAAATTAAAACTATATATATCATATAATAGTATCAAAAACATGAAATGCTTATGGATACATCTAATAAAATTCATACAAGATTTATATGCTGAAAACCACAAAAGATTGTTGAGAGAAATTAAATAAGACCGAAGTTAATAGAGAAATAGATCATGTTTAGGATGAAATGGTTCAGTATTAAGATGTCAATTCTCCCCAAATTGATCTATAGATACAACATAAACTAAATCGAAATCATGGCAGGACTTTTTGTAGAAATTGACAAGTTGATTCTAAAATTTATATGGAATTATAATCATGACAACGTGGTCCTGGTGAAGGACAGGTACATAAATCAGTGGAACAGAACACAGAGTCCAGAAATAGACCCACATATAAATGGTCCACTGACTTTTAACTAAGGTGCCAACGTAGCTCACTGGGGAAAGAGCAGTCTTTTCAATAAGTGGTCCCGCAACAATCGGATATTCATGTACGAAAAGAAGATCCTTACTCCTTACCTCACACCATATGCAAAAATTAACTCAAATGGATTATAGATCTACATGTGAGAGCTAAAACATGAAACATCTGGAAGAAAAGAAAGTCTCTGTGATTGGGAATGGAGGGGGTTTCTTGTATAAATTGCAAAAAGCATGAACTTAAAGACAAGTTGAGAGGTTGTATTTGATCAGAATTAAAAACTGCTGCTCTTTGAAAGACACTTAAGAAAAATGAAAAAAACCCCACTGAATGGAAAACAATATTTATAAACTTGTATGTGATAATAGGTTCTAATCAGAATATTCGAGGAATTCTTACAATTCACTATCAAAAAGATAAACGACTCAATAAGAAACGGCAAACATGTAAACAGGCAATTCACCAAAGAAAATATATGGATGGCAAAACCACATGCTCAACGTCATTAATCGTTAGAGAAATGCAAATGAAGACCGCAAAGAGATGCTACTTCACACCCACTAGAAAGGCTAAAATTAAAGGGTAGATGGGAAGTGTGGGTGTGGATGTGGTGCCGTCGGAGCTTTCACCTTGGCGCTGGGGACAACAGATCCCTCAGAGAAAGCAGCGTGGCCGCCACGTGCACCTACATGCGAACCAGCAACAGACTCCTACATATCTACCCGTACCGACCTAGGGGAAACAAAAAGATTTGTACCTGTTCATGGTAGGTTTATTCTTAACAGCCCCAAACTGGAAAGATCCGAATGTTCATCGACTGGTGAGCAGATGAGCGAGTTGTGGCCCCTCCACGCAGTAGAGTTCTACACAGCAGTGCAGAGGACTGAGCTACTGTTACAAGCTCCAACGCCATGAACCTCAAGAACATTTTACTGGGTAATGAGTGCAGACATAAAAGCCCGTGTTCAGCACGATTCCATTCACATGAAATTCCAGAAAAGGCAAAACGATGGTGGCAGGAATCCAATCAGGGGCCGTCACGGGTGGGGATGATGAGAGTGGCTGGGCAGGGCAGAGCGATCTCATGGGGAAAGAACGCTCTACGTCATGACGTCGGGCACAGGTGTTTGCATTTGCCAAACCCACTGCATTGTATACTTCAAATTGGTGACATTTATCGTTCATAAATTATGCCTCAACAAAGCTAATTTAAAAATAACTGCACACCCGTCCATGCAAATGTGGGGCACAGACCATAGGTGCTACGAAAGGTCACAGAAAGGAGCCACCCCTGAGCACTGAGGGCTTCCAGAAGGCTCCCAGGGCAAGAAGCACTTGAGAGGACTGCTGGGGCTGAGCACGTTCGGGCCGTGGGAGGGAGGGGGCCGCAGGGGGCACCGGGCTGCTGAGCGGAGCCCTGAGCAGGCGGCGCTGCCAGGAGCCGGAGAGCGGGTGGCAGCCGAGCGGGCAGCCCAGAGCACTGCTCGGAGGGGCCGGGGGCGGCGGAGAGCTGCGGGAAGGGAGCGTGAGGGGCGACCCAGCACCCGGTGGCGTCGGCACCCAGCTGGGCCGCACTTAACGGAACTATGTTTTCAACTGCACTATGACACATGATACCTCCGAACTCAACTTTAATTCAGTTCCACGGCGTTTACGAAATGTCTGCTGAGCGTGGGCACTGAAGTATGAAGATGAATCGAACAGAAACTCAGCTTCAAGAAGCTGCCAGATAAACAAATAATTATCAACAGTGCAGTACTAGCAATATTCGTGAGATGTACCCAAAAAAGGGAGATACTTTGGCCTAAATTAGGTCTCATTTATGAGATAGTATTTAATTTCCTTTAATTTACTCTTATTTCTGATTAGAATGGCAGAATAAGTCACAATAGACCAAAATGCATAAATCCCACATCTATTAGGATAGTATTATGCACCTGTTAGGATAAACAATGCACAGTTCCGCTAATGACAGAGTCAATGCCACGGGGCTAAGAATCAGGATTTTCGACAGGATCGTGGTCAAGTTTACTTGCATGCCAGTCACTCACAGCGCCTGCAGATGATTCGGCCTGCCCCAAACCACTGTTTTCACTGCAAAATCTGTGCGAATTGCTTTGAGGAAACCGTGCTGGTGACGGGCTGGCATGGGTTCCACCACGACATGTGAACATCCTGTGCGCAGCGCCCCGTCAGCTCAAGTCTCAAACAGCAATTATCAGCTCTTTCAAGGAACAAGCTGTGGATTTTCCGTTATGAAAATTCTGATGGTAAAGGCACTAAGAAGTTTTTAAATAGGTATTTCTGCACCTTCTTTAATGTACTGAGAACAAAATACTCTGCGATGCTCCAGTAGTAGATGAGACATTCAGGGAAGTGCCCACGTCTGTTGTCCGTTTCTCGGTGACCCAACAGGTCAGCGCTGGGAGGCTGCGCGACTCCAGGGTCTGGCTCTGCCTGGTCTTTGGGAGTCGTCACTTTCTACCTCCACGTTGCCGTGACCATATTACCCCCACTCTTGCCGGCTCTTATTTTGATGTTATTAAGTCACGTGTAAAACATTTTTAGTTCAACTGATTCTT